CCTTTTTCCCGATGTAAATGGCTACAAGAATGGGACATTGAGTTTGAACCCATTGATGCCCGGAATTGACCACCTTGAACACGTCATCTTCAATAAAGAAGTGATAAAAGCACAACACAACATGATCGATGACATTAAAAAGTCCTGTATCCCTAAAGCTTTAAAGAAATGCTCGGACGAAGTAGAGGTGTTGAACAAGGAGAAGAGCAAAGTTGAGGCATTACTGGAAAGGATTACTGCTGCCAGTAGTAAAAAGGCATATAAAGGTGTGGTTGAAGGGCTCAATAATGTTCTAACCGAGGCGCACAACGAGTTGGAAAAAGAGCTTGGAAAGAGGGAAAAATGCCAGGCAGAAATGAACTATATATTAAGCAATTACTATTGATGGAATCTTAATGTACCTGCTTTAAATACATGCGATTTTTGTCAGTCGAGAGTTAATCTTATACTGTTGCTCTTGTTGATTATTTAAGTGCTGGATCTCAGTCCCTTGCAAACCTAATCACATTGTAGTAACATACTCCATGCAATCTCTATCGGGTATTTGGCAACAGCAAAGGACGCCACTTGATACCCTATCCAGCCTAGCCAAAATATGTGTGCATTACTGGAGATCTGCTACACAGTTGTCCTGGCACAAGTTTTCTTCCTCATTATATAATGAACAGCGTGTGACGAGTATCGAAATTTAAAAGGAACTCAGTAGGCGCGTTTAATGTCACCGATGGGCTACTAAGCAAATGGTAAAGCAACAGCTGAAACAAGCGAAGGCAACATGTATAGGAGAGGAGCATACAAAACAGCAGATAAAACGTATGCAAAATAAAGAGATGACAACAACAACTTAGACAAGTAGCACAAGAAGAAAGAAGAAGAGAACGTGTATACAGCCAGTTGTGAAAGCCAAGAGTCCAGAACAGGGTGATATTAATGAGACAGGTATATGAGCAGAAGTTTTCGTCTGCTTCTCTTCTCGTTCCGTCATTCGGTCTAATTTCGGACGATCAGACTAAACAAGCATGTTCTTTCAACTCTTCCTGCCATCTCCTAAAGGAGCGCAAGCACGAAACCGAGAAGTACAAGCGGCATGCTGGAAATTGCAAGCATGCTCTCAGCGTCGGAGGACGAGTCGGTATTACTCGCACTTGATGAAGTCTCAGTCGAGGTGGAACCTAACTTTCCTGTCGCGGAGGAACTAGAGGAGGAACCATTCAGGCGATCCGCATTCCGCTGGAAGTTGCGGCATTCGGTACACATATCAGAACACGTCATTCTATTAATAGAGGCGTAATGTCCTTACCACAAAGCCTGCAAGGGTCTCCAGGCTGCTTTCATTGCTGTTGATAACGCCGACCGCACCGGATCCGCATGCACCAGGGGCCGTATCGTAGAACCACATGGTTGTGTTTACGTTGGAAGGAAGGATGGGGACTGAAAGGACAGTAACGGCGGTCCCATTCGCAGTGTCGCGGAAACCGGAGTCAAAGCCATTTATTGTGATATTCGTGTCGTGTGCGGGCTGGCAAGGTGCGGCGAATGTTGACTGCGTCGCACTATGATTTCCAGACGTAACTACAAAGAAATAATTGGTTTTTGAGCATTAAAAAGTAAAAAATTAAAATAGGAAGTACAAGCACGTACAGTTGAAAAAGACGATGTCACCGACTTTCGCGGTAACGCGTTGCGGCGAGAAAGTGGTCGTGTTGTCTTTAATGGAATAGTTGGGCCCGGCAACCTGAATGTATATGTTTTCCGCTACAGCGAAGGTTGCTGTGAGCTATGTTAGTTCAACATCAGCAAGAACGAAAACGAGTCAGTATTTTTCTATCTTTATAGAAGTTTCAATGCTGTATGCTTACGATGGCGAAAAGCGAGAGAAATGCAGTACGCATGTCGAGTTGAAGTGAGTCGATGTCGGTAACAGTGAAGGATTGGACGTGTTCTATGAACAGCGCAAAGAGGCGAGGAGAAGAGACGTGAAAAAGAGGGATGTTGTGGTAGGGAAAAGAAGGCTACCCAACGCGCCCAAACCTTGCTTCCGTTATTCGCATGCCCGCCATAAAGCCTATGAATCGAAGTTATGAAACATCCTGTCATTTTGCCTGCCTACATGATTGGTTGATAGCAATTTAGGAAAGTCGCATATTGAAATATTAAATAAGTGATGAGCAGTTGGGTAATTTTGATGGCCGATCCGGCATTTTGGCATACCATGTGTATGTCGTCCAAATATCGCAAAATTTAATTTTTCGTCATTTTGGCTTTGCAATAGCAAACTCCTCCTAGCATTCAGCTGGAATTAACCAGTACCGCCGGGCTCTCGGTTAAGATAACCTTGCCCAGCTTTTCTATAAACTTAATTAGCAAAACTAGTCTTCATAAATGTCTGGATAAATGCTTTGTTCTTCTTGTAACCTAATTTACTGCATCCTTTGTAGAAACTTTCTTCTGCAGGATTATATCAAGCGCGAGAATAGTGCTCAATAACAGACTAACAGACATTAACAGGCTCAGATGCATTCAGCATTGTCATAGAAAATACATTTAGGATTATTCACTGAGGTAACTCACATACTGGCCCATTCTACAAATGCATGATTGTGAAGAAGAACAGAATACCCTCTTTCCTACTGCAGGAAACGAATGAGCATATAAATGGATATTTACAAGGTGTAAGTAATAGTATAGGTAAGAACCAAACGTACCAACATCACCAAATTGAACACGAAAATGTATTGGAATTTACTGCTAAGACGTATATTTTTTACATATTGTGGATCCTTATATTTGCTTATAAAGTCTACATGTAAATATATTGCCTTGTCAGACTCTGCACGTTTTGGTGATGAAGATCAATTATCTTATTTTATTACCCTATCTTTCAAAAAGAGAAAGGCTGAATGGACAGCTGCAACAGCTCTTTAGCGAGGATTGAAGATGAATTTGCAGTAATAGTATTTTTAAATTTAATTGGATACAAAAAATATATATAATAAAAACGAAAATCTTGCTCGTACGACGTAAATCCTGAACTTTCATGTGGCTGTGCACTGATCACCATCACCACCTTCCTGAATTGTTTCTTCATTCCTCTGTCTTCCACTCAACAATTCGAAATCTGCAAAGGAAAAGGCTCTGTGATGGGTCTTGCAGGACGAAAACAAAAGCAACGCATAGGTGCTGACCCTCGAAACCTCACTTGGGCAGACGGTACGTTTTCTTTACTATCGAGTTTGTCATTCGCTCATGTTTATTTCGTCTTGTCCGTTCGTTTTATCGTTGTCTCTTCGTCTTATACCAACCCATACCTACGATACATTTTAAATCGTGCGATGGCGTAGATGCGGCAAAATTCGGCCAAACGTACCTTGCGAAACTCGGATGGGATCCGTCTCGCGGACTTGGTGCATCGGGGGATGGACGTACTTCACACATCAAGGTCGTGCAGAAACTGAATATGCTCGGTATCGGCGCAGGTGCGAAGCAGGAGGGAGATGTTGCTTGGAAGCAGAACAGGGACTACGAGATGTTGTTGAAGAGACTGAACGAGGGATTAGAGGGTGGGAAGGATGATATTGGACAGGCGGAGGACGACGAAAGCAAGGTGGATGCAGACGGGGACAAGGGTGATGAAATACAGGTCAAGAAAAAGAGAAAACGAAAGCAAGATGTGGATGTGGATGCCGAGGATGAGGAGAAGCGCAGGCAGAAGAGAGAGAAGAAAGGGAAGAAGGCGAAAAGGGAGAAGGAGAAATTGGACAGCGAAAAGGTTGAAGAACTAGTGACGACCGACGAGAAAGCAGGACCCTCAGAACAGCCAGCCTCAGCTCTGGTTATTCAAGCTCCCACACCTCGCCCCATGGCGTACGTCCTCATTTATTGCTCTAATATTATTGTGTCAGATTCAGCATTTTGATACAGACACCGCGCACGATTCCTCCGTTCAAAGAAACTTGCTTCCCACTCTTCAACCGCTGTCGCTGAGATACTCGGTATCGCCACCTCTTCTTCCAATACTCCTGTCGCTTTCGGCTCTGCCACGCCCTTCCCTCCTAGTTCTGATAGCTCGACGCCGGTCACGGAGGCAGATCAAGAAATACGGACGTCAAGCATAAGTGTCGGAGATTACTTCAGAGAGAAGCTTGCCAGTCGAGCGAATTCTCGTATCGCAGCTGCGTCTCCGTTATCATCGTCTATTATACCACAAGATCCAACGAACGCGGTCGACAACGGGACAGCAGGTACTTGTTCCTACGATGAAGACAATGCGCCACGCAGAGGACTCGGCTCAAGAGCGATCCATGTACCTCAGACAGCTGCGAAGGACGATGAGGATGTACCACGTGCTGGGCTTGGTATGAAATTTGGCATGCTAATGGGTGGTTTCACACGTCCAGATTCTACGCCAGCTTCCTCGGCAGAGACGCCAGAAGAATCACAACCAGACGACGGGAAAGAAAAGAAAGGGAAGAAAAAGAAAAAGCGGAAGGACAGGGCGTCTGAAAAGCTAGTCGAGGACGATTCACCTAAGGATACCTCCACTGAAGTTCGGGACGATCAGGAAGACGCGAGGAAGAAAGACAAGGCAGCGCGAAGGGAGAAGAAACAGAAGGACAAGGAGAAAAAGAAAAGGGAGCAGTACACTGAGGAAGACTTGTAGTGATTCGTCCCAGCGTCGTTAGACTTTGCAATTCATTACTTTCTTTTAGGTTTTGTTTTCGGCTTACTTCCTACATAGACCACTGTAAGGTAACTCACTGTGCCTTACAATTGAAATTCTTCTCCTCAAAAGCACACTCTTAACTGACTGAGATAACTAGTATTGAGTGTAGGGCAAGGGGAAAAGAATCCCCTTACCTATAGCATGATTCTGTTTTCTATATGTACAATACACGCAGTTTACAGTTTATTTCCTAACTAAGTAATAAAAGAGAAAACATGCTGACCTGTCTTCCAAAGGATAGTACATTGATACACTATCAGACTAGAGGGTCTAAAGCTCTCAGAGAGCACATTGTCACATACACCCTTTAGCATTTAGTCCCTAAATGCTTAAAAATTAGTAAGAAACATGAAAATTACATGTAAATAGCAAATATTAAAAGAAATATTAAGTAATACCTTTACACTGTGTTGACAAACATATTCTCAGAGTCTATCACTGTCTGTTCATTATTATCCAAAGTTGATCCAACAAGGGGCACATTCACTACAAGAGTTCTATTCATAAGTGACTCAGGAGTTGTATCATGTAGAACAGGTACAGTAAGTCTGACAGTAATAGGATCTGTAGGAGAAGTATTAATGACTGGTGCCTGGTTCAATGTAGGAGAAACTAACAGTATTAGTAAAGTTAGTTGTGTGGTAGTAAAGTCTAGCACTCTAAACAGTGTCAATCTGAGATTAGTAAGACAGTTCTGTTTAAAGTTGTAAGAGTAGAATAAAGTGTTCCCACCCTCCAAAAGCTCTACACAGTACTTCATTCCTTTAGTATAAAGGTAAATGATAGTGTGGTGAATGATAATAATAAAACTACCTTGATTCAACACAGTATTCTTATAGTAAACAAAGTCTTGTAAGACTTTAACTATCTTCTTGTGTTACTCTCTGTTCTGAAACAGTAGTATAGTACTAAGACATGTGTACAGTAGTACATGATAGTTATAGAGTCAAAGTACAATAAGGTAATACTCAGAGAGTTGTGTTCCTGAGTCAATTGTGTTCAAATGAACAGTATGAGAGAAGTTTGTAATGTCCTAAAGTTTGTCATTGTTAAAGTGATAGTTTGTTCTCACACTAGAGTTATAAGTGATCCAATTATGATTAATAGTCTGTACTTACAGTTCTACAATCTACTATAGTAGTGGATGAGATAAGTTAGTACTAGGTATGATAGATGAGAGCTTAGTATCATTAAGGATAGACATAGTAACAGTAATGTAGGTATATGTACAGTATTCAAGCTTATTATATGTGTCCTTTCAATTGTCTATACTGTTTTTGTATGTTGTAAGGGTGAACTCATATAAAACAAGGCTAATACTAATCTGTAGATTGTTTGTATCTAGTTTTCCCTTTCTGGGAGTTAGCACATTAATGGATTCAATATCTAATGTGTTCAAATATGATTGTAATACCTTAAGGTACAATATTTTATTATATAGTAGTTATATGTAATCTCTAACTTTCTAAAGTACTTTGAAAATAGTAGTATTACCTTGTCCTATGTGTGTTTCAATAGAATCAACTGTCTATTCATTAGATTCATTACTAATTCTAGTAACTTGACTAGTATCTCTTCCAGGAAACAATCTATTATTATTTAGAATATGTATCCTTAGTATTAAGGTATAGAAAACTAGGTGAATGTTCTGGTTCCTTAATTCATTTGGCAATTCAAGTTTGAATGCCTTGTTTCCTACAATCCTAATAATTCAATAGGGTCCTATATACTTTAGTACTAGTTTCCTTACTCTCTGTCTTGGTAAATTCATGTTCTTTATAGAGATATACACTAAGTTGTCTAGTTTGAAGGGAGAGGGTCTTTACATTCTATTTGTGTGTCTAGTTTGCTTTACCCTTGCTTGGAGAATAGTATCATGTACTTGTAAGATAGTGTTCTTTACTTTTTATGTAAATATTCTAACTCTAGAGTATTTGTCTCTCCTAGGATCATTCTATAGTAAAGTATATAGTATTCTTTCATAGTTTAAAAAGAATAGAGTGTAACCTGTAGTCTCTGACCTTACTGAATTAATTGCAAACTCAATCATAAGTAGTTTGTATATCCAATCCTTTTGTTTAGGAAAAATACACTGTCTAAGTATCTGAGTAATTGTTCTGTTCATTTACTCAGTTAATTTATCAGTCTAAGGATAGTATACACTTGACAGTTTGAGCTTAATTCTAATCAACTCATACAATTGTTTTAAAACATACTAGTAAACAATGAATCTCTATTACTTATAATGTAATTAGAGAGTCTATAAAGCTTGTAAATGTTTTTAAACACTATTTTAGTAATATCTCTTACTCTGTATATCTGTTTTAATAGAATAATGTGTACTATACTTATTAGTAGATATATAATTGTACAAATCATATTAAACGTTCCTAAACAGTTCTTTACTTTAGGAAAAGGTTCTACAAAGTCTATACTAATTCCTTCCTATAGTCTACTTAGTGTTAGGCAAGATGTGTTCTCTAGGTTAATAGTACTCTCAAACTACAAATGTAGATCTACAGCCCTTAATCCAACTATATTCCCAAAACTACCAGCTAGGATTTATGCTAGGAGAACAAGTAGGAATATAAGAAGAGTCAAAAAACTAAGGAACTACTGTATCTACAGACTGCTTTTTATAATAACTAAATAACAAGAGTAAAGTAAGGAATAAAACTTGAGAATAAGATTAAAGAAATAATAAGAACAAATATTGCAAAGCTAACAGGCACATTAGAGGCTAGGAAGAATTAACAGAGTGTTGTACATTAGAGAATATAGGCTAAGAGGCTATTGTACAAAAGAGGCATGAGTTACTATATTGGGTAAGAAATAGATTGACTGTATTATAATTGTATACACTACCTCATGTCTCTGTAGCTCTCTCCTGTGCTCAATACTGAGACAATCTTTATGAAACTTTGTAGAACAATAGATAAGATGTTAAGGATTATGAAAATCCAGTAGTAATGTTGGTTTTTCACAAAACTGACAGAGATATAAAGAAAATAAAATAGGTCCAATCCTACAATCCTAATATCACCTCCCTCATCAGGTTGTACATCCTAGACAACCAAAGCTAGGGGCTATTTTGTCTAAGTAAAGTGTCAAAGTTCCTAAAGGTTCCTTTTACAATGTTTAGTCATTTTAGACTACTAGGATAGGCTTTATAGAAATCCCTAACAGTATTCTAAGTATGAGTAAGATCATTTTCAGACTACTAAGTTACTTCCTAGTATCCTACCCATTTGACAAGAAACTAAAGCTTTCCCTTATAGAGTCAAGAGTCAAGGATAGTCTCAACTTTGTATTTGATTTTATTATCTACAAGTTTAGGAGGAGGAGGAGGAGGAGTCTTCTGAATATTAAAGACCTGAGGAACATATAGTTTGAGCAGAATTTTATTAAACACTAGGTGAATCAATTATCTCTAAGGTAGTTTGAGCCTATATATACTAGCTCTAACTTTTGAGTCAACCTTAAAAGGATCAAACTACTTGTCATCAAACTTTTTAGTAGGTCTGGTAGTCTTTATGTTTCTTGAGTCCAAACACACTATATCTTCTAACTTGTACTATATAGAGGGCCTGAATAGTAATTATAGTACTTCTTTATAGCTTTAACAGCTTAGTCTAAGCTTTTCTTTACAAGTTCCTAAACATCTTTAGTATACTTAGCCTATTATTCAACTGAATATGTACTAGTCTTAGTCAAAACCGATCCAAAGCCTATAGAGTGTCTTCTAGAGTTGACATAGAACAGGGAGAACTTTGTAGTAGAGTGTTCTTGATTGTTATATACAAACTCAGCTATAGAAATCTATTCTGCCCAGTCTGACTGTCTATAGTCAACATACAAGCAGAGATACTGTTCTATCTCTTAATTAATACACTCAGTTTGACTATCAGTTTAAGGATAATATACTATAAAGGGATTCCCTTCAATATAAAGAGCTTTGTAAAGTTCTCTCATAAATTTAGTATTGAATTGTAGTCCTCTGTCATGTATAATCTTCCTAGGTAATTTATAGAGTCTAAAGACTTGATCCCTGTACAGTCTAGCTATTCCCTCAGTTATAACCTTTATAGTAGTTAGAAGAGCATGTATTTGCTTAGAGAAACAATCCACAATAACACAAATAGTGTTAAATCCCTTAGACTCAGGCAATTCACTAATTAAATCAACAGATATTACCTACTAAGGTTTAGTAAGTGTATTATAAGAATGTAATGCCTTTTATTTTGTAGTGTGTAGGAATTTTGTTCTTTAGCATTTATTACAGTCTTGAACATACTTCTTAGTATCTGTCCTTATCTGTAGCTACCAGATCTCTCTCTGAATCATTTCAAGCATATTTCTATACTCTGAATGTTCTACAAGTAGTGAATCATAATATTCCTTTAGAACTATTAGTACAAGGTCTAATAAAACATATATTTTTGAATTCCTACACATATAGTCATTTCTAATAAGTATACTAGCTAGGTACTCCTCTCCTTTGTCTAATAATTCCTACTAAGTGTTTCAGATCTTTTACAGAATGACTTTACTACCTGTATACACTATTCCTCTTAACTAAGAGTCTTTAATAAAGGTAACATCTTTGTTATCATACTCTCCCTTATCAAATTAAGGACTTCAAGATAGTGTATCTGCTTTTGTAAGTGTTTTTCCAGGTTTATACATTAAAACAAAGTTATAGTCTGCCAGTTCTGTTCTCTAGCAAGCCTTTCTATAGTTTAACTTGTAGGGAGCCTTAAAGTATGTCAAATTAGTATGGTCAGACTATACTTTAAAGGTTTGTCTTACTCTCAACAAGTACTAGTGCCAGTCCTTAATGGCTTCAACAATAGCAAGCATTTCTTTATTATAGATCTTATAATTTTGCTCTACAGGGTTTAGAGATTGAGATCTGAATACTATAGGATGCTATACACTATTTTACTTTTGAGAAAGGACTGCTCCAAGTGTGTAATTAGACAAATCAGCTTCTACTCTAAAGAGATCATACTTATTTAGAATTGTAAGGACAGGCTGTAAGCTTAATTGTCTCTTAAGCTCTTTCATAGCCTCTCTTTACTCATTTC